TAATGTACGTCGTCTCTGTTTATGTGCCTCTTCCGGTCTAACGCAGTTCCCACCGACAAGACCTTTCCTCGCCGTGGAAATAATTAATATGGAGCCTTGGCGGGCAACTGGGGCCAGTTTTTGTTCCCCGTGGCACGCAGAGTGGCTGAAGCAACGGGTACCACGCGCTGTCGTGTTAATTGCACGCTCAAGTCCCGCGTTAATTCGACGCCAGTTATCCGGACCACTTTCTCGCGTAGACTCGAATTAATTGGTACCATGTTCGAGGGACTAGCTCGCTTCCGGATATTTCGCCGGAAAACTCGCGCTGGGACTCTAGGTTACCTGCCCAACGAGATGTGCTTCTTCGACGTTTTTCGCGAATTCGCGGAATTTCGGAAATTACGCGAGGGGGTGGATTATTGTTAGAAATTAGGATAGAGTGGTTTGAAGCTTCCTGCTTTCGTTCGACCAGTTGGTAGTGTTCTATGTGGATGCACCTTTAGTCTCGGGACGGTCTGGTTCGAGAAAAATTATGTTAGGGGAATATGGGGAATTTGAAGAATCATAGGAGAAAATTGATAAGTTCGATGTTTCGCAGATTCGTATTTTTATCGGTCCAATTTATTGAAGTCGATATACCATTTATTTCGGAATTTTGCAATTTAGGAAGAATTAAATAGGATTAATATTTAAGGAATATTTTCGATCACTTGTTATTGCGTTAATTTTGTTTTAATATCTAATGTACAAATTTTTATTTTTCCTAAATGTTAATTACCCCATGATGGTTAAAAATGGTTCACCATTTGGAGAATTTTGCGAACCGCGCACGAATTTTCCTGTGTTTCGCGCGCCATCTGTAATGGGCCTTATATGTCAACGTACTGTCTCGTGAAAACGTGCGGTCCCTGGGGTATGTCTCAGAGATTTCTATGCGAAACGAAATGTGTTAAATCCGGAATATAATTTGGAAAAGAATTTTATCGGTGATTGCCAAATTCCCAAATTTTTGGAAAATGGAACTTCGGGGACATGTGCGAAAGGGGGGCTTGACAGGATAATTTGGAAGGGACGTCTTGGAATTTTCATATTAAATTCCTTCATAGGACGTCATCGTGGAGGTAATCCGCAGAAGCAAAGGAAATACGCGAAGATTTTTCGCTGGCGCGCCTGAAAAATGGCTGAATGTTTTAGCAGATAAAGAGGCACGGCGAAATAAGGAGCACTCGGGGCATGACAAACTGGCGTCACGAGTCGTGAACACGTTCTTCCGTGTCATCTTTGCAAATATCACTCCCACGGAGCCCTGACATTTCGCCAACGCGGAAATCCTTTTGAAATAAATAACTTCCGCGAAAGGGCGATGCTGCGCCGTCGGTATCCATGCAAAACGGACAACAGGCTCAGACTTTCAAAGCGGATAATTGAAATAGAAATATCAAAACCTGTCTGGTAACCTGGCACGTCGTTCCATCGGGAAAATATGTCACGCTTCTTGCGTCACCGACTTTCCGGAGCAACGATTATTCCCGAAAATTCTCCTCATTTGATGTTACCTTAAACCGAGATTAAATTAGACGAAATTAATAGAAGAAGATCTAGAATAAAATTTCTGTTGGTCTACCGATAAATATTTGGGGTGGAAATTATAATATATGTAAATTTTAATACCGATTTTTAGTATTTTTCCTTTGTAATAAAGTAAATCCTTAATTTATTATGGAGTCGTTATAATTTGGTCTTTAGAATAAATTATCTATGGTATAATCAATATACCTGAATCGACCATGAAAGCATTGAAATATTGAATTAAAAAATTGAAAAAAGAAATTGAAAAAAATTGAAAAAAAATTGGAATTGAAAAATTGAAAATATGGAATAAATAAGACAGGATACATGACACGATAAAATAAAAATGGAATATTCTAAAATAAAGAGTAATTAGCCATCGAATTTCAAAGGACTGTCAAAAACCAAGGTTGAAAGCATTACCGCATAGAACTGATATATATGAGTAAAGATTTATAAATAAAATATTCGATTACAAAAGCAAAATGCCACCAAATCACAGCAAAATACACGTTACATGCCGGTATTACAATGACCCATACCCATTTTGGATCTCTTTCCGCGCCACCGTTCGTTATCCACGCCAGTCGTGTCGCAGTCAGTCCTAAAGCCGCGTTTACACGAGATTAATTTGTCCTCGGTTCGCTTAATCGCCCAAATATCCCGACCGATAAAAATTTTGTAAAATTCGAGATAGTACCATCTCGATGATTAAGAAAAATGGAACAATTCCGCAGTCGAAAGTCGGCTCTAAAAGTCGACGCGATGTTAAGTAAAATAAATCACCAGAAATCCCTAGGACAATCAACAGTTGACTCCCGAGACTCTAGAGCGAGCGTGCCGGCAGTCTGCGCGGGGCTTTGCGAATGAAATAAACGAAAGGCGACTGAAAAGGGGATCAGGGCGATGGTTTGACGAGATCCGCGCGATTTGTCGCGATTCGCGATGCCGAGCATCGAGGCGAGATATCGGCGGCGGAACGACTCCTCGAGAGGAATCGGAAGGGACGACGGAGAAGGCAGAGGAAAGAATGCAAACGACCGAGAGATAGAGGCACCAGGTTTAATAGGATCCGAATAGCCGTCGGTGTCCAGCCGGAAAATCCGAATTTATGAACCTCCGGAAGGATTTAATTTATTTAAATTTCCGACCGGCGAGCCCCGGCTTTAATCCTGATTTACCACATGGCTTTTCTTGTTGCGCCACGCACGCTCGCCGCGCGGCTTAAGCGGCCTGTTATCACGCGCTGCTTATAAAGCGTGTTCGCGCGGCCGATAAGCGACCGTGAAACCGGGCCGGTAGTTTTAGAACGCGGCAACGAGTAATGGAGAACATAGTGGCTTCCGCTCCGATAGCCGCGCGATCATCGCTGGGGAATTTCGTTGAGGATCAAAGGAGTTTCCAGGTGGCGCTAGTTTGATCGTGGTCAAATCGAATGACTGGTATATCGTTCAATTTTAATAAATATTCGTGTATTATTTATTGTTAGAGGGTGTCTTGTGGAACCAAGACTTACAGCGATCTTACAATCATGGCTAGAGAATACTGTAGAAGCTCAAAGCAGTTTCCAGGTGGCGCTAGTTTGATCGTGGTCAAATCGAATAATTAGAATTTCATTCGATTTTACTAAATATTCGTGCAAGTAGGGTATTACTTATTGTTAGGGGTGTTTTATAGAATGAAGGCTTTTAGCAGTTTTACTATCATGGGTTGGGAATATCGTAGAGACTTAAAGGAGTTTCTAGATGGCGCTAGTTTGATCGTGGTCAAATCGAATGACTGAAATTTCGTCCAATTCTACTATATATTCGTGTAAGTAGAGGTTTATTTATTGTTAGGAGTGTCTTATGGACCAAGACTTACAACAGTCTTACAATCATAGCTGGAGAATATCGTAGAGACTTAAAGGAATTTCCAGGTGGCGCTAGTTTGATCGTGGTCAAACCAACTAACTAAAATTTCATTCGATTGTACTAAATATTCGTGTAAGTAGATTTTTATTTATTGTTCGGTGTGTTTTATAAAACCAAGCCTTGCGACAGTCTTACAAACATAGCTGGAGAATATCGTAGAGACTTAAAGGAGTTTCCAGATGGCGCTAGTTTGATCGTGGTCAAGTCGAATAACTGGTACTTTGATAGGTTTCGATTGATGTTTGTATCAGTAGAGTATTATTCGTTGTTAGGAGTATTGTTTAAGGAACCAAGACTTCCAGCAGCCTTATGATGTGCGCAAGGGAAATTCCTAAAGTCTCGAAGGAGTTTCCAGGTGGCGCTAGTTTGTTGGAGTATAGACAAGTTGGGTTATAGGTATTATGTTTGATTTCCGATATTGCTAGGTATGCTTTATAACTTGGAATCTGGGTTTGAATCAGTCGTTCGAGGACTAGAGAAAATTTAGGCTTGTCTAATATTATAAAACTAGTAAAAATCACCTGACTTTTGATACTTTAACCGAGTACGCTAACTTCTGTCTGGCGCCTGTACAGACGTATCAGCAGCGATGTAAATTGATACTACGTTATAAAACGTAGACAGGACTCAGTTACAGATTTCCTGAAAATAAGACAGGATATATCTTAGGAAGGAAAAGATATAAATAGCCATAAAATTCGATAGCCTATCCAACAATAGACGATAGATATTCAACGCTTGAGAGACGGAAAGAATCGCTCGGAAGACGCAAACAGTACTGTCCCAACGTTGAATTCCGCTATCCGTAAACAATTGCCAAGTAGCAGAGGCAAGTTTACCGACCCCCGAAATCAAGCCCAACGAAACAAAGCAAACTTGCCGTCTCAGGGAACAGTAACTTCCCACTTATCGTCGCAATTCCTACGCCAGACAAGTGCCAAGCGAACTTCCGGGGCACCTGTATCTCTAGACGCGAGACAACCGCGACTCGCGTGTTCCCTTTAAACAGCGCGCTTCCTCTGCTAGCCCGATGAGGGAGCATCGCATTAATCACCCGGGAACGGCAGCGGACACAATGGAAACAGTCCGTGAAGTCCATCTAATCGACCTCCTAATCTCCGTTTCGCCGGACGATCGATCAAAAACGCGCTCGCGAACACGGCTGGCAAAGCAGAGCTGAAGAGGAAGAGAGGAAGCGTGGTTTTATCGCGATTTTTCATTTGTTTCGCGGCGTGCAGGCCTTTCGTTGGCGAGATTAGGCGCGTTGGAACTTTATTCGTATCTCTCGGTTAAGTAATTGGAAGGTCTCGCCCAGGGTGATTTATCACCGGCTCCTTGACGCAACGAAAGACGAAGGGTTAGAGATTGTTGCCAGGCCTGACCAATGATCGATCGTTTCGATAGGTGCGCCGGACGTAGCCCGTCCGTTGCCAGGCCGGCTGGATCGTGATTAAGTGATTTCCGCGAGAAAAACGAATTGGAATGCGATCGCGTGCGTTTCCCAGATTTTCAAGCGGATGTCTGCTTTGGTTCCAGGTCAGAACGACATCAAGAAGCTGCGCAGGGAGAACGAGCAGCTGCGTAGGGAGATATGGAGCCTCAGGGACGAGTACGACAAGCTCGAGGAGATATTGAAGAGGCAGAAGAGTCACGCGGAAAGCGAAGAATACGAGGTACTCCGAGGGTGAAGTTAGAGGGATGGACTGGCGCGGGGGATGAATGATCGATGCGTCGATTTTCCGGATTTCGGCTGTTTGATCGATAACGGGAAGTTTGTTTTCACGGCGGCCTCCGATTCCGAGCTTAGCCACGAGAGATTGATGCGCGAGGGCTATTAGCGAGAACGAGTTTCTAAATTATTTCCTGAAATCGAACATCGACGTTGGCATCCGGGCGAGATTTTGAAAAACGATGAGGAATTATTTCCCAATTTTCGAGATTAGCGAACGAGGATTCACAGAGTCGTTTGTTTCAGGATCGCTCCGACGAGGATGACGGTCTGCGATCGGATTACTCGTTCGAGGACGAGGACCTCAGCCAGGACGCCCAAGACGCTGTCAAGGAGACCAACAAGTCCGAGCAATTAGAGAACGTCGAGAACCAGAAGATATCGACGGAAAAGATGAACAACAACAATCTGCACAGGCTACACGTGGACTTCGATGACCTGTCAGTGGTCGACGAAGAGGAAGAGCCTAAAAGGGACAAGGAGAAGAAGGAACTCTCTGCGGAGGATGTCGCAAAGGCGAAAGAGGACAAGAACCCACTTTCGATCCTAAAGTCGAGGCAACTTCACGAGAACATCCCCTTTTATCCTGGTGCATACCAGTCACCCACTTGCCTAAGTAGTCCTGCCTATTATACAGAGTGCCCCTTCAAGTTCCCCAGCACGCTGAACCTGATGATGCCTCCCGACGCGTCAGCGATGCTTGGTTCACCGTGTCCAAGGGTAAACGCTGATCCGATAGTGCCTATGCCGAGTCTAGGAGATCCAAACTTGGACCAGATAAACGATCAGATATTGCACGCGCCTCCTATAGGCTGGCAGAGCAACGTCATGGTGCCTCAGAAGCAAATGACCACGTTTAGCGCGACTGATGCGAGTGGTTCTCCAACTATGCAAAATTTTCCTGGGATTCATCAGGACCAGGCGAAGCAACAGACAATTGGTCGAACGACCGGCGGCTTTCCTCGTCTTCCGAGCTTTCTACAGAAAAAGAACGCTGGCCTGAAGCTGTCAAGCGATCTGTTCAACTCGACAGCGTTTGGAAAGACGTATCAGAATTCGGAAAAGGCCGTGGTTGAGAACGGCTGGGGCATGAATGCAGATTTTTCGAACAGAGGCACCAAGGATCCCAGTGTCAATGGGAAACAGACGGAATCGGAGGAGAGTCCTGTGTTGTCGGCAATGGAGAAACCGAAACATTTCTTCGCACCATTGCCTTCCAAAGCGAAGAAGCAGTCCGACGACGCGTCGCCGACGTCCAGTCACTTTGGAACCGGAAATAGTTCCAGCAGTAGCAAAACTGGGTCCACAGTGGTCTCCAAGAATCACTTCCCGACTCAAAAGGGGTCAGCCGACGTCTACGTGAACGGAGCAATTCCGTACGAAGATAATACGCAAAGTGGCAAGATGGAACAGAGGACGTTCCTAAGCACGGACAATTTGCTGATCACCGACGTCAGAAACGGCACGGGTAATCAGCTGACAAAGTCCATGTCCTGTCAAGACCTTCCCAGCAAGTCCCAAACTGTCTCCACGAACGGTGAAGGCAAACAGATGCTAACTCGAAGCGACAATACTTTGGACAACATAGCAGACTCGAAACCGTACAAGTCGCATCTGAACGTGACTCTAAAGACACCTCAGGCGGCAGAGGTTAGCCCCGATACTCCAGAGATTCCCAAGTTGCCCACGATAGACTATCGCCTGTTCAAGAACCCTTTTCTACGAAATTTCGAATCGTCTTCCAGCTACGTGAACCAGAATAACGTAACCAGACCTCTGTCAGTTCAAGTGAACGACGACAACCTGTGCTACTACCCCTCTCAGCCTGAGGTGTCCACCTTCAACAGAGGGATACCTTTCGCGGACCGATACAGGCCAGCCCAGTCTGATCAGAGCCGTCTGCTGATCCCCTCTAACCAATTAATCAACGGAAAGGTGATATCCCCGACGAACAAGCATCAGATCGAGGTGACGTCCTTCGAAAGACCAAGTCCACACACTCTGATAGGCCCGACGACTCCCTACGAGTTCAACACTATGCGTAGGTTGAACACCAATCCGTATCTGCATAGCCAGAATCTGTACCAGAACATGCCGTACCTGTCGAGGGGTGGCTTGTATCCGCAGAGGGGGATGATGTACTACGACAGCCTGGCGCTGAAGGTGCCAGCTCAGACTCAGACCTCCATTGACGGAGATTCTCATCACGAGGACGAGCACACGCTGTCTCACGAGGAGAGTGCACCGAGCACACCCAGTGGACAGCGTAGGAAGAAGTCCATCAGATCAGAGAAGAGTAGCACGAAAGATCAGAAACCTCTGTCACCGGGTACTCAGAGGAGACTGAAGAAGCAGAGCAGTGTCACGTCATCGGAGGTGGCAGAGTCTCCCGGGAAGATACCTAGAACGAAGCCCAGGAAGCTCAGCATCACCACCACGACCACTTCCGAGGGCCAAGAGGATAAGAACGAAAGCAGGTCATCCTCGTCTGGCCAGGACTCGCCGAAGAAGGAGCAAATGAGGAGAGTGTCCCTCTACTTCAACGCCAAGAAGAGGCCTTCTCTGACCTCGGTGAGAACCGTGAGGAGCAACAGCCTGGACATAGGCAGGGAAAAGGAAGCTATGGCGCTGAACTCGGAAAGGGAAAGGACTAATTCCGTTAGCAGCAGGGAGACTGGCAGCGCCAAGGCGAGGAAAGCGAGCACCAGCAGTGGAAACGTGCCTTGGTGCGCCTGCTGGGGCAACGGGTGTGTTTAGGGACTTCGTAATTGGTTTTATTGGTGGCTCTGGCTGGATCTAATTAAACGTTCGAGTTTTGTTTACTTTGCGGCCTGGTGTATCAGCGTGTGGTCCTCTGGCTCCATTTTAATCGCGGATAGACCTAAGTGGGCTATGTCACAGCCACTGCGTCCTGAGAAACTCTAGAACGTGGAGAATGTTTAATCCAAGTTCGATCTAATTCATAACTCTAATTTTACCTTACACTCTGTCAAATAGACAGTTCCTGATCACTTTCAGAGTCTCAAAGACAGGGACATGGGAAATTTTAAGTTACGAATCATGGAACCTGGAATATCGGAGACTTTTTCGTGAAAAATTATAGAGGAATATTGACAGTCTAAGCCGGTGAGACATGTCAGATCCAGAAAGATCGACGCTAGGACGAGTGGTTGTTGGAGTAGCAGTGGAAAATATCGAACAGAGAGCATGCTCCTTCTGGAGCAGTATCGACCTTCAGCGTAACTATAAGGCAACCGCTGCAGCCAATGGGGGAGGCCGTAAAACTAGCGCCAGCAGAACCAGGACACCATAAAACCCGTTACCGTTCAGGTGACAGTTGCAACAGTGCTGGTCCTTGCCAGGAATACGGGAGCACGGTTTAGCTTGAGTCGCGAGTGGATCGAATTAGCGGATTAATATTTAACGAAGGACCAGACGAAGTCAGGCCCCTGCCAATGATCGCCGTGATAAAAGATCCGTGAACTGTGCCAGTGAAAAGTCGTAGCATCTAATTTCCTATTGGTTGCTCTTATCCGCTGTCAGGAATAACGAGATGGAACGAACATTCGATTCTTTATGCGTTAGCCTAACTGTCTGGGACTTAAGCTTCGATGTTAGGTGTTAAGTTAAGGAGCGATACGTCTGTGCATTTAATTAACGTTAAGAGGCTAGGAGATGTCATTCTCCCTAAAAATGTAAATACGTTTTTAAGGCAAATTTCTGTCATTTAGGCGAGTGTAGCTAAACACGATGAAAAATAATTGAAGATGATTGTCTGACCAGGCACTTTCGCGAATCAAGTACCAGGCCTAACTCGATCATAGTCTAATGGGAAATGTGGCTGAAATTTGTCAAGGTACATGGACAGATTTTTATCTATATTATAGTCAATTCTTGAAACGACCCTTCTCGGAACAACGGCAATTTCAAGTCGAACGATCTCTCGTGGAAACTCCTCGCTATAAGAATCCTAGATAATATCAAATTTTAGCCGGATCAACCGAGTCTAGAGCACTTCTGGTACCGTTCTCGGAAGAACGCTATTAAGGATCCTAACTATACTTCGTGTATGTATAATCCTGCGATTTTAAAGCGACATAACCTCGTTATCCTAAGGAATTTTACGTGTAATTTTGTACGAGTGGTCCATTAAGATCGTACCTTCCAATAAACTCATTTCCATAACAACAGTTTCTTCTATCTCTCGATTAATATTAGCCTTATGATCAAATACTCTAAACACGTTCAAGAATATACTTTAATGCTCATCCTCCCTTTTTATGCCTATGAACAAAGCAACAGAAGAAAGCCATTGCCTGAACTGTGCTTCTATCGAAATACTAATATTGCTCCATCCGACAATTCTAGAGGAAGAATTAATTTGACAGCGTTTAGGTCTTTTACAAACGTGAACTAGTTCAATTGTGGTTTTGCAGGTTTTTTATTTTACTATAATTTACTATAATGTAGAGAACGAAGAATGTATCAATTGAAAGTTGCATGTTTAACTCAATATTCTGTTTTTGACTAATTTTCATCATTTGGCTTGGTGTTTATGAATTGGGGTGCATGTTCGTTAGTTGATGTGACGAGTGAATGATGGGGCTTTTTTCAGGGTTTTCCATTGGTAGTGTATGTTTATTAGGGGTGTGTATGGAATTCAATGCCTTTCAGTAGTAGTGGAAATTTAACCCTTTGCGGACTATGGCCGCATATATGCGTTCTAGGTGAACTGTCAATTTGACAGGAACTCATATGCGTTTAGCGAAAACAACTGATAAAGAGGAAAAACTTATATATGTGTCTCACATAAACGCATCGTTATGAACACATATGTCTAGAATTTGATATTTTGAAGTGCTATCAACGAAAATGGCGTCTAACTAAAAATGTGCACTGCCAATTTGAAATGCCTATCGTGACAGCAACTAGACTTCATGGTACGGTTAACTTTGAATCGTTCCATCAGCAAAGGGTTAAGCCAATTTAGGCAAGTATGTCCTTCGTCTAGTGACAATTGCTAGTCTTTTATTAGGAACTAGCCCAAGCAGTGTCCTGGTGGGCTGGGTACTTATGAGTCACGGAAGCAATAAAGGAGTGAAATAGACTCCGAATGACTCAGGACGCTACGTGTTTCGGGAATGAAAGGAGATAATGAAGAAATACGTCAAAATAATCTTCCTGCAATTATTTCCCAATCCCAACGACTCGATACTCCGCGATTGCTCCCGTGGCTTTTAAGAAACCACCATGGCACGACGGCTGGGAAATTACAGCGAACCCTCGTATTTTCGCCGAGTCATTCATCCCTCTCTATAGTTCATCGAATTATTGATTATTCTACGCAACTTATTCCAAGAGCCCCATTTATTAATGGCTCGCGGGGTGGGGGTGGTTAGCGCAAGTTAAAGGTAAAGTTCGCGAGCATCTTCCGCGTAAACTTCTCTAGCGTTCCGTTCCCGCTGTTCCGCGCCCCCGCCCCCCACGGTCTTCTACGAAGGGGGCGGAGTGGAAGAGAAATTTAAAGAAATCGAGAGAAAGGAATCGCTCGGGTAAATTGAATGTACTTACAATTAAACGCGCCGCTTTTTCCTCCGTTTCTTCGCCATTTTTCTTTCCCCCTCCCTCAGCCCCGATGGCTTTGCCATTCCGCGGAAGGAAAGTTTAAGAGCATCGCGGAAAGAGGAAACAGAGAGGGGGTGGGGGAAACTTCAACCGCGACCGGAGATAATTTCTTTCAGCGGAATGCTCTTTGATTTTTCAATAAACGCGATTTTCGAGCTCGCGGCGCCCATTCGCGTCTGCCAGAGGTTACACGTCGACGAGGGTACATTTAATTCCGTTCCTGTAGGGGGTGGGCCTTTCCGGGGCTATCGAAACGCGATATTTGACAAAGTTTCGTTGAATTTCAAAACCGTAATCGCTTCTTGTGCAGCTGGCATGGAAGATGCTTATTCGCGGATCGAAATACGCAGAATTCAGCCTTCAGAAAAAGAGGGGATTAATTCAACGAAGAACGAAAGATTCACAAAATTATTACAGAGTAATCTCAAAGTAATCCACGACGAAAAGATTCCCAGAGCCAAAACAGTGCCTTCGTGCATAGGTACCTCACGATATCTGTTGCACAGTTCTAATCTCCTGCTCCATGTTGCTAGCCGCTTCTAGCGCCGTCTGGTGGCATTTTCGACAATTTAAATAAAATCTAACGGTGGAAGTCACTTCCTTCGGTTATTTTAAGCATTATTCCGGTAAAACAATCCATACACGGTATTTCACAACGATATCCCTACAGTGTTACCCCGTATTTAAATTCCATGCAAACTAACGTCACGAAACAATCACTCGGGACTAACTTCACGAGATCCACGATATCACGAGGCACCTGAACCACATAATCGGTACAAACGAACATTGTAATGTCCAAGCAAACGCCAAACCTCGCTCACCTCGAGACCAAAGCACCACGGAAGCTAAAAACCGGGTGAATAAACAATCGGAATCCGAAAACGCTGCAACCCTAATCACGCGCCGGGCACAAAAGGTGAAACGACCTGAACGACGATGGGGAAGATAGCCGAAGCTGGGAACGATCGACGAGGTCCGGCGTGCAACGGTCTGGAGTGGAAAAGGCGAAGGTCGATGGCACAACGGCGGGCGAAACAAAGGTTTCGGCGTGGAAACGCGCGCGCGAGGAAAGGCGCTGGCTGGTCGCAGGGGTGCAGTGTCAACGTGGACGAGGGTGGACGGGGCGGGGAGGGCGAGAGAGCGGCGCAGACTGGCGCAATTAAAATGCAAATTATCTCTTTTCGCGCGGCCATCTTCGCAGAAGAGGCTGGCGCTCGCAACCCTACGCCGTCACCGATTAACCTGCGACTAATTTACGACAACGCCGACGACTCCGTCGGAGTGCGAGCGCGAGACGTTTTGTCTCGGCGCGGACAGGGCCGCCCGTGCTAATACGGGCTAACGTCATTTGCGAGATGTCAGTCCGAGGCCGGGTTCCTTCGCTTCGAGCACCGTTCTCATCCCCCCACAGGTCCACGGGACCCCGTGAAATCGCTCGGATGTACGCACGCCGTCGCGCGCGCGACAACGTTTTCGAGGCCTCCGCGTCGTCGGGGACGCGCGCGGATTTAATTCCTCTGGTCGGATGGTCGCGAGCTGCGCGTTCACGGGTGTATCGGGTGTGGAGAGTTGTCGCGAATCGTGCCGGGTTGCGAAATATAAACGTGACCGGCGAATTTAATTGGACCTCGATACATGTATCGTGATCGAGTCTAATTGGATCTTGATACATGTATCGAGTATACTTTTTGGCATTTTTGGTACGGGAAAAATATTTTCACGCAGAAGATCACTTCGTGGATGTTATTTTTAACACATCTAGAACGATGCTGAAATCTAGAGTCAAGCTGTAATTGTCGTGATATCATTTTTATTCGGGATTCGAAGATTGAGAACGAAAATTGAAATTTATTTGTATTAGGTTAGGAAGCCATCTTATCTCCCCCATGCACGCTTGTATTTATCTTCGATCCATTGGTTCTCTCGCCATTAAGCTGCCGTTTCTCTCGAGTGTGTAACTATATCTACTCTGGGACTTAGCATATGCAGACGAGTGACGCGTCATTAGACAAATGCGACGTAGGACAAAGTTAATACGCTGGGAGACGTTCTGTTGGAGAGGAATAAACGGTCATGCGACCCATCAGATTCCCGGAACTAACGTATACCGTCTATTATAATCGAATACACCGCGGTCCGTGTATATGACCAACGACTGGACTCCTCGCGCGTGGCCATATATCCGAACAATGCGTTTCTACGTATCTAGGGATAAATTTACCCCC